ACATCCAGTCTGGTTTCAAAAGCGGCCACTCAACTGAGACTGCCCTGCTCTCGGTTATTGAAGCTTTGAGACTGGCAAGAGCAGCTTTCAAATCCTCAGTACTCATCTTGCTGGGATCTGTCTGCTGCTTTTGATACAGTTAACCACTAGATCCTCCTGTCAACCCTCATGGCGAAAGCCATCTGAGGAACCGCACTCCATTGTCTCTCAGGTAGGTCCTTCAGGGTGTCATGGAGGGGTGAGGTGTCTAAGTCGCAACATCTAGCTATTGGGATGCGTCAGGGCTCAGTGCTTAGACTTCTCCATCTACATGTAATCACTAGGACCTGTCATTCAGAAACATGTTTTTTCCTATCACTGCTATGCTGATGACACACAACTCTACCTCTCATTGCAGCCAGATGATTCGACGGTAGCTGCTCGCATCTCAGCCTGCCTGACAGACATTTTTTGCTGGATGAAGGACCACCACCTTCAAATAAACCTTGCGAAAACAGAGGTGCTTGTGGTCTCAGCCAACTCAACACTTCATCACAACTTCTCCATTCAGCTAGGTTAGTCAACCATAACTCCATTGAGGACAGTCAGGAACCTTGGAGTTGTGATTGATGATCAGTTAAACTTCACAGACCACATTGCTAGAACTGCCCGGTCCTGCAGATTTGCCTTATGCAACATTAGGAGGATCATGCCCTTCCTATCGGAGAATGCTACACAACTCCTTGTCCAAGCGCTTGTTCTATCCAGACTGGACTATTGTAGTGCTCTCTTGGCAGGCCTTCCAGCATGTAGTAAAACTTCTGCAACTGATCCAGAATGCAGCAGCGAGAGTCTGTAACGAGCCGAAGAGAGCGCAGATCACGCCTCTCCTCATAAAATTCCACTGGTTGCCGCTCGCATCATACAGAAACTGATGTTTGCCCACAGAACAACCACTGGCTCTACACCCCTATACGTAAACTCACTTCTTCAGACCTACCTATGCATGTGCCCTCCAGAAGCTTGCGTTCTGCAAGTGAACGGTGCCTTGTGGTGCAATCTCAAAGAGGAACAAAATCACTTTCACGGACCTTTACCTTGACTGTTCCCTGCTGGTGGAATGACCTGCTTAACTAAACCCGAGCAGCTGAGTCTTTAACCAATTTCAAGATCTTTTTCAACACTTGACCCATTTCGAAATGTTACCCTATACTTTTCCAGCTATGGAAGAAAAAATTAACTAGTTTATACAATGACAGCTGAATTCAGGGTTCCTACACATTTTCAATTTCAAAATTCCAGACCCAAATGTCCAAACTTCTGTAGATTTTTCAGACCATATTTAACATAAATGGGTCTTAAGAATTATATTTGGTATATATATATATATATATATATTGTTATTTAATTTCTTTTCATTGGTTTTCAAGTGATAACATGCGCTTAAATGATGAGAAGAAACCTTAAACTCTTTAAAACCTGTATATATTCACCCCTGACACATTGGTTTAATGCTGTAAATGTGGTTTGATGTTGCATGATAACAAAACAGCAACGTACAGTCTGATTTATATGATCCTTTGCTCCATCTGTTGATGGTTTGAGTGGCACATGCACATTCGTTCAAAAGAGACCCGCTTATAGTAAAGACAAACAGTTTCGCATGATGAAAATGTGTGCCTTGAATTCAATCAGTGTTGTGGTTGACAATCACTAAACTTTTATAATGAAAACACTATAATTATATGATATTTATTTTTAGAAATTCTTAATTTAATATTTTAGAAAACTGAATAGGGGATATGGTGAGACAAACAAATTTTTCCATACGGTTTTCTTTTTTCCCATGCTTATCCAGACCTGTAAATTACTCGAATCAGATTCCATGCTTTTCCAAACTGTAGGAACCCTGTGAATTATGATAATACATTTAGGTAATTCATCATATTCACTGTGGTGAAATGTAAACCAAGAAAGACTTTTTTGTTAGTGAAGAAGACTAATCAGAATCCTGCTGGGAAAAAACTAAGCTGATTTAATGGTTTTAGCTGGTTTAAACTGGTCTCCAGCATGGCTGAGTGTCCAATTAGTTTAGCAGGTTTAGCGATTTTCCCAGCTGACAAGTGTCCAAAACCCTCTAAAACCAACAATCGGGACCAGGCTGGGAGACCAACTAAGTCCAGAAATGTAGTGGGAGCTGAAATGAATGGAAAAAGTTAGTTATTCTGGAAGATCCTCTTCTGGTTCTGGTTCACTAAAGCATCAAAAAAGGAGTCAATTAGTGTGTCAATGACATTCTGTGTTGTCCATTCACCCATTATATATTATAATCAAAGGATTTTTATGAAAGAATGAGATAAAAACGCCATTTGTTCCAAACCAATGGCAAAACAAGAAAGAAAGAAAAAATCCACAGAAGAAATCAAGTTATACAGGTTGGGAAAAACATGATAGTGATTAAATAATTTTCAATTTTGGGTGGACTATCTCTTTAAGAACATTTAGCTTTTTCCCCAAAATGTACTGCAACGCTTGTTTCCAGGTTTGATGTTAATTAAAGCAAGCAGTCACCCACATATGCCCTTCCTTCCTATCCTTTCCTCTCCCTCCAAGTATCTGACATGTTAATGCTCAAACTGAAAGAATAAAGCCAGCATATGTCTTAAGTACATATATACCCGCCAATTTCAGAGCAGCCCCTAAATCCTTTAACCCCTCAGGAAAAATCCTGCAAGCTCACACTTTAGCATGCAAACCATTAGGAAAAACAAAATCGACCTTCATCAAAAGACTACATGCACAAAGGTTGAAAAGAGCTTATGATCGACATCCAAAGTTTTCCACAAAAGCAAAAGTATCATTAGCTGGTTTGCAAAATTTTAATGTTGAGCTCTGTTGCACTCTTGTGGATGAATTTGGTACTGGTGAGTAGAGGGCTGGAAAGAGAATCATACTGATTTTATAAACAAAATACACATCTGTCGAATAAAAAAAAATGTCAATAGTAATGGGTCACCTAAAAATGAAAATACTTGTATTTATTCACGCTCAAGTCATTCGAAATCCCCATAGAAAACAAAAGGAGAAATAATTTATTACAAAGATTATGCAATAAAATGATAGTGGCCAGGTGTAAAAAAAAAAAAAAAAAAAAAAAAAGGTGAGTAACAACAATTTAAATTTTTATGTTCTTACAAGTGAACAGTAGCAGTTTCAAGTTGACAAAATATTAAAAATATAATGTGGTTGATTGTGTAAAGAATCGTTCTGCGATGCGTTTCCCAAAAGCATCGTTAGCCAACTATTGTCTAAAGTTCTGTTGAATTGTGTTGTGTTGATAACTACGGAACTTGCGACCACAGTTGGCTGTGGGAAACGGACCACTGACTGTTTTTAAACCCATAACACACAAGATCACCAATGATACTTTTTGATGAATACATTAGAAGAAAGAGCTCAAGAGAGTCATTCGTTTGACAATTTGTACGACTCATTGCAGCAGTATGACTTCCTTGAGTATTTAAAAAAAAAAGCGTTCTGACTGATTTGACTCGATAACCCAAGTTCAACAATGATTCTTGAGTCTTTTTGATCAATTTATAACAAGAACCAGTTCATGAGTCATTTGGGCGACGATGAGTGACACGATTCATTGCTACCATAGCAATTCTGATTCAGTTCAGTTAGTAAACGAATCATTCAATGTGTGTTTTCCCCAAAGCCAACTATGGTCACAAGTTCATTCGTTACCAAAACACAGTTCAACGGAACTTAAAACCACAGTTGTTTAACGATTCTTTTGGGAGACGCACTACAGATGGGTTTTGTGAACAGATTCAACTGATTCATTGAAAAGATAATCAAAAAGAACTTTAAAGTATGTAAGAACAGTTAACAGAAGCAAAGATCGTGAAAACAAGAAACATTTCTCGATTTCCAACCCTAATAATGCCCAACGTAAAAAGTGTTTTTCACATTTACGCTTTCATCCGCTCACACACGCCACAAAAAAAGCAAATGTGCATTTCATCTTTATCACAAAACAGGTTTAATTTAATATCTCTTTATTTTTTAAAATAATTAAACATTTGTATTTCTCCGACCCTTTTTAACTTTTGTAATTGTTTGATGTCTGGGGCTTTCTAAAGCACAGGTTCAATTCTGACAATGCTCACCACCACAGCATCAGTCCTCCACAATCCCCCTCTCACTCCCCCCCAATCAGCAACTAAGTAAAAAAAAGGAAGAGAGAACAAATTCCACTTGGTCAAAAGAAAAAAACAAAACCAATTCCAGACAAAAAAACTAAACCCAAAACAAATTAGAAGTGAAACCCAAGAAAGAAAGAACGAAAAGATAAATCCCAAGAGGCTGTGTTCAATCTTTCCTCATCATATACTGGATTCTCCTAAACAAAAATACGCTAAATGTTCTACTAGATACAGAGTATCAAAGTACTGCATTCAGATACAGTATACAGGTACTTAACACTGTAAGAAACTCCCTCACACACTCGAATGCAGAATGTGTGTGTGAACGTGCAGTTCCATTTCTCGTGACAAGCTTCTCTGGTTTTGCTGCTGGAATTCTAGACACTACCTCAGATGTGTGTGTGTGTGTGTGTCTCTCATTCACTGGTACCAGTACCGGACTGGTGCTAAAGAGTGGCGGCACATTTGGACAGAAAAAGAACGAAAAGGGGGGGAGGGAATGAGCTGGTGTGTATTCATGATTCTGTGTCCACTTCCTCTTCTCTGCTGGTTACTGCATAGGGTCCTTTGCGTTCCCTTTGGAGAAGTCTACAATCCAGACCTGCTGCATTTATCCAGATGTTAATGGATAAACAAGGATAAACAAGTTATTATTTGCTTTCAAATATTCAGGACACTCAGGTGGCGAATGTTGATCCAATTCAGAGAGCGCTGACATGAAGAGGAAAAGAAAAAGGGGGTGAGTATGGGACGTAGAGAGGGGGGAGGAAGTGAGGAAAGAGAGAGAATTGGGCTGGTGTTGTTCAGTAAGGATGGGCGAGGTGAGTCAGATTGGTAGGTTGAGATTCTCCGTTTGTTTGATTTTCTTAACAGCAGTCGTTCATTTCAGTCCTACTGTCTATTCAAAGTCCTTCCAACTCCAGTGCGGGTTTCACTTTTTTTTTCTTTTTTCTTTTTGCTTATTTTTCTTTTTTAACTTACTTTTCTAGTCACGTTCTTTTTCGGCATAATATTTTTAAGGGGGGAAAAAAAGAGGATAAAATAAAGTTATTTACAGTGCTTTTGAAATAATGAGACTGACGAGGTGAATCTACGGTAAAGTAAGTCGCACAAATACAGAAAAGGAAAAAAAAGTGGCCAACGTTCCGAGCGCGTGGTGGAGGCGTTGGGGAAAAAGCGGTCCAGGAGAGGCGCGTCATTAAGTGGGAATAATTCCGTCACTCTGGAGGCTTCTCTTCAACTCCAGATCCTCCAACCTCTTCCACAGCTCTTCTCTCTCCTTCTCTTTCTTCTTCTCTCTGATGAATGACAAATAATGAAAATAAAGGTGAGGAGGTATGTTTAACACCACATGCATAAGCAGCAGGCAAGCCAAAGAGTAAAGAATCGGAAGAAAAACAGCTCACCTCTGACGATCTGACTTGTAAGTGGACGTGAGTTCATCAAACAAAGTGCTGTTCATTTCCATGAAGGACTTCAGAACATTATAGACTAAAGCTACTATGGCCCTTAAAGTGGAGAAAGAGAAAGAATTAGACCACTTAAAGCACTTGTTACACTGGAAATGGAAGGACAGGACATGTTTACTCCAGCAGATGGCAATATCCAATTAATGCTGGACAGTGATGACAGTTTTGTGAATATTACACAGGTATACTGGATCTTTACATGAAGACTGTGAGTGTACACTACTGTTCAAAAGTTTGCTCAACATAATACAATTGCTCAAAATACAATTTAAAATAACAGTTTTTCTATACTTTACTATATTTTAAAATAATTAATTTCTGTGTAGGTAAAGCTACATTTTCAGCAGCCATTACTCCAGTCTTCAGTGTCACATGACCCTTGAAAAGCTTTTTCAGGATTCTATGATGAATAGAAAGTTCAAAAGTAATTATTTTCAACAGATATTTTTTGTAACCAGGCTTTACTGTGACTTATGATCAACAATGTATTCTTGCTAAATAAAAGTATTATTTTCTTTAAAAAAAAAAAAAAATCTTATCGACCCCAGTAGTGAACAGTAGTATGGAAGCTTGTTTCCGCCACAGAATATTTTAAAAGATAATTGCGACTTTTTCATCTCACAATTGCGGGTTTAGAATTTGCGAGATACAAAGTCAGAATTGCGTAATATAAAGTTGCAATTGTGTGTTATAAAGTAAGAATTGCGAGAAATAAACTCGCAATTCTGACTTTTTTTCTCACAATTGCGAGTTTATATCTTACAGTTCTGACTTTTTAACACGCAATTGCGACATTATATCACGCAATTCTGGTTATAACTCGCAATTACGACTTTATATCACGCAATTCTGACTATAACTCGCAATTCTGAAAAAAAAAGTCAGAATTTTGAGATAAAAAGTCGCAATTATCTTTTTATTTTGCCGAAAAGAAACAAGCTTCCATACAGTCGTCAACATAGGCACTTTCACATGAAAAAAAAAACTCCAATAAAGCAACCACATAAGCAATGTCCCAATATATGTCCCATTTCTTTATTTATTAGGGCCCAAGCCCAAAGGGCGAAGGCCCTATTGTTTTCCTTAGGATTATTTATTATTATTATTATTATTATTAGGGCCCAAGCCCAAAGGGCGAAGGCCCTATTGTTTTCCTTAGGATTATTTATTATTAGGGCCCAAGCCCAAAGGGCGAAGGCCCTATTGTTTTCCTTAGGATTATTTATTATTAGGGCCCAAGCCTTGAAAAGGCGAAGGCCCTATTGTTTTCCTTAGGATTATTATTTTTTTTTTTTTTTTTCTCCTCTTTTATTTTTCTTACGACTATTCGGGCACTTTTGGGGCTCTTAACGTGCACGAAAACTCTTGAAACTTTGCACGCGGGTCAGAACCTGCGGCCATCAGGGTCGGGGTGAAGATGGTACCCGGGCATGGCAGGGGGGCTCGACAGCGCCCCCTGGAACGGGGTCCGAAAACTTGGTCCATAAATCAAACACGCTTGTATGTAAGAATATGAAACTCGGTACACATATAGATCTCATCGGTTCATATATACTTCATGCTCTTACTTTTTACCCCAGCCCAACAGGAAGTCGGCTATTTAGGGTTGTTTGTAAAACGCATGCAATGGAATTTAAAGTACTTCTCCTAGAGAATTCAAAGAAATGCCTCGAAACTCGGTCAGCATGAAGTCAAGATATTGAGGATGAAAAATTGCGAGGGGATTTTTGATATCTCGAACGGTTTGGCCGTGGCGGGGAAACGAAATTATGGCGAGAAACGTGAAACAGGAAGTGTGTTATAACTTCTGCATACATTAACTGATCTTGATGAAACTTCACCAGTGTGTTCGCTGTAAGAGGCCGATCACATGGATGTGACTATTGTGAGTCAAAGTTATAGCGCCACCAACTGGCAGCAGGAAGTGTGTCACTTTCAAAATGCTTCGAAATCACCCTCTTATTTTAACCCAATTTGCTTCAAACTTCATCTGTATAATGTAAACATACGCCAGATGTAGACCTGTGAATGGATTCTTGATATCTTTGATACTGTTGCCGTGGCAACACATCAAACTTTAAAATTCTTTTTTGATGCTTTTGAGACTCTTAGCATGCTTGAAATTGCATGAAACTCGACAGACATGTCACATATATTAGCCAGTAGACATGTGCAAAGTTTCAGGAACGGGCGTGGTGCAGGGACTCAGTAGCGCCACCTTTTGACAAAAGTGAGAGGGTTAGTTTCATAGTTTTACCTGCAATCTTAAAACTCGGTAGGCATATTGTTCAGATCAAGCCGGACAACTTTCTAATTTACAGTTTTTGGTTCCGAACAACATGAAGTCAGATATTTTGGTTTGAATGGGATGTTTTGGAGTAATCTCTGTCCCTCTCTCCCTCTCTCTGCATACCTCTGTGTCTGTGGGGGGAGGGGGATGTGTCTGTTTGAGTGACAAAGCTTTTAATTATTGTTGATCAAGGTTTCGGGGGCTTTTGGGGCCCTTAACATCCTCTAAAACTCTTGAAACTTTGCACACGGGTCAGAACCCGTGGCCATCAGGGCCGGACTGAAGCTGGTACCCGGGCGTGGCAGGGCGGACCGACAGCGCCCCCTGGACTGGGATTCGAACACTTGTCCATAAATCAAAGACACTTGCATGTAATAATATGAAACTGTGTACACTTATAGATCTCATTGGGTTAAACAACTTTCGTGCTCTAAGTTTTACGACATCCCAACAGGAAGCCGGCTATCATGGTTTGTTTGGAAACGCATACCCCTGAAATTCTATTTAATTCTCCTTGGGAATTGATCGGATTTCAAGCAAACTCGGTCAGCATGACGTCAAGACATTGATGATGCTAAATTCCGGAGGGATTTTTGATATCTCGAACGGTTTGGCCGTGGCGAGGAAATTAATTTTATGACTAAAAAAGGACACATAAAGTGTGTTATAACTTTGCTCGTTTTACCTACAGTTACAAAACTTGCCACGCATATTGTTCTCATCAAGCCAATCGACTTTCTAATTTAAAGTCATTAGCTCAGAGCAACAGAAAGTCAGATATTGTAGTTTGAATGGATTTCTTGTCCCCCTGCCATTCTGTTTGTGTGTGTGTCTGTGTGGGGAGGGGAGCAGAGGGGAGGGGAGGGAGGGAGGGTTGGTGTCTGTGTTTATGTGTGTGTGTGTGTGTGTGTGGCTGGCTGTATGATTTTTCCTGCATTAAAGGATAAAGAAATCTCTAAGTCCTTGTCTTTTCGCATAACAATTTTTGTATTTTTTTTTAAATGACAAAATATGCATCACTCCTCTTAAGTGGTTTATTTTATTCCCACCAAACTTTTTCAACATGATGAAAATACATTAAAGAAGCATAATTGTGAATATCTATTGAATATCTCTAATTGTTTTGCTATGGCGAGGGATTAAAGTCATGTAAAAAAAAAAAAAAAACACTAAAAGCTTCATATCTTCTAAAAATGTAATTATACACCATTTATTTCTAGATAAAATTATACAAATATCAGAACTAAACCCATTTTATTCTTGTTTTCAATTTAAGAATAATGTACAAGTTTAAAAACAGCCAGGATGCACTATTCAGTTAAAAAATAAATATATCAAATAATACATAGGGCTATACTGCCCTCTTGTGTTCAAAATCAGGTAGGCCTGTTGTATTTAAATATAGGTAGCTGCTATGTGACTCCGAGAATTTTTTCTCACCGGTTATTTGACGTGTAACACCGGGGGCTTTTATATCGCTAAGTAAAAAGTGAAAGTAAAGTAAGGACATTTATAGTGGTGGCGCTCGCAGTGCGCTCGAATGAATTTCTATGGAAGTAGAAATGAAAAAACGTTCGCTCTGTTTTGCTCGCTCGTCGCCATGGATGCGCACTGTAATGAATGCCACTGCAGCCGCATACTTTTTAGTGTCACTTTAAAATTAGTGCAATATCGGGGGCCGATTGCTTGAATTGTGAGTTCAATAGTCTATTATTTTTCACGGAAAACACAACAACAAAAGAGTACAATGACAGATTCGCTTAAATAGGCGCTTTTACATAAAATAGCCTATTCCGTCATCATCTTTTCAGTCAGCACTTCACTCTCGTGATTAATGAAATTTATTGCTGATATTTGCTGCAACTTTCGTTCCGCTCACAATTTAGTAAGCAAACACGCTTCAAATGTGTTTTTATTTTATTTTTGTGTATATATATGTGTGTGTATATATATATATATAGCTTATGTTTCAAATATAAGTTAATTAACAATCGTTTGAAAGAATGATACTTTTAAACATATCACTAAACCGTCATTAGGTGTCGCCAGGCGACCGTCTTAATGAGCGAGTCATTGATTCATTTGTTCGAACGATTCGTTCGAACGGCTGAGTCATTCATGAATGAGACAGATTATGGATTGGTCATTGAATCTTTCAGTCAACCGATTCGTTCAAAATGCTGAATCATTCAGTAATGAGAAAACACGTTGCTGTGAGATGCGCAATGGTTCTGCTGTGATCTTTGTTTAACTAGTTTCACTGCTGAAACAGAAAAAAGTCAATATTGCATATAAAATGTAAGTGATTTGACGTGTGTGTGAGAGAGATTGTGTCTGTTACAGTGACAAGAGTTTAACCCTTTAAGGCCTTGTCTTTTTGGATATATATCTCTTTTTTTATTACAAAATGTGCATACAACCCATATATTGTAAATGTATTGTTTGCTTTAAATTAAATTAAGATTGTATGTTTGGTAATTGAACCTAAATAAATTTAAAATTAGGAAGTCGGCTATATAGCAACAATAGTTACATCCATCTGATCGGCCTTCCTAAACCCATATATTATGGGTTTAGGAAGGCCGATCAGATGGATGTAACTATTGTGAGTCAAAGTTATAGCGCCACCAACTGGCAGCAAGAAGTGTGTCACTTTCTAAATGCTTTTGACAAAAGTGGGGGGGTTAGTTTTATCCACAGTAACAAAACTCGATATGTATATTGTACTCTTCGAGCCGGACAACTTTCT